TTTTGAAAAAAATATTTGGGAATCAATCTAACAAAAGAGTGAAAGACATCTATAGTGAAAACTACAGAATTCTAAAGAAATGAATTGAAGAAGACCTTAGAAGATGGAAAGATCTCCCCTGTTCTTGGATAGGAGGCAGAATTAATATTGTCAAAATGGCCATACTACCAAAAGCACTATACAGGTTTAATGCAATTTCTACTAAGATTCTGATGACACTTTTCATAGAAATAGATAAAGAAGTCATGAAATTTATTTGGAAAACTAAAAGGCCCAGAAAAGCTAAAGCAATCCTCAGTGAGAAGAGTGAAGCAGGAGGCATCAAATACCCGACTTTAAATTATACTACAGAGCAACAGTAAMAAAATTTGCATGATATTGACATCAAAATAGACATATAGACCAATGACACAGAGCAGAAGACACAGAGACACACCCACATAAATAACAGTAATCTCATGCTAGACAAATATGCCATAAACATACATTGAAGAATAAATAGCCTCTTCAACAAATGGTGCTAGGAAAACTGGATATCCATGTGTAACCAAATGAAATTAGACCCCTATCTCTCACCCTGCACAAAATTCAATTCAAAGCGTATCAAGGACTACACATTAGGCAACAGATCCCATGTCCATTAGGGGGAAAATTGGCCTGAATCTCCATTATGTCGGCTTAGGAATCGACTTCCTCAACAAGACCCTGAAAGTGCAAGAAGTAAAATCAAGAAGCAATAAATGAGATGGTATCAAACTAAAAACTTCTTCACAGAAAGAGAAACACTAAAGAACATGAAGAGAGAGCCTATGGAATGGGAGAAAATCTTGACCACATGCACCTCAGATAGAGCATTAATCTACAGGATATATAAAGAACTCAAAAACTTAACACCAAGAAATAATAATCCAATCAATAAATTGGCAAAGGAACTGATCAGACACTCCACAGAAGAAGAAATATGACTGGTTAACAAATATATGAAAAAATGTTCAATGTCTTTAGCAATTAGAGAAATGCAATTTCTCACTCCAGTCAGAATGGCAATTATCAAGAATACAAGTAACAGTAAATGTTGGTGAGGATGTGGAGAAAAAGTTACTCTCATTGCTGGTGGAGCTGCAAATTGGTGCAATAACTCTTAAAAACAGGAATCTCTTTTCTGAGATTCCTCAGAAAAATTGGAATGGAATCACCATTTGACCCAGCTATTCTACTCCTCGACATATATATGAAAAATTTAAAATCAACATACTGTAGTGATGCAGCCACATCAATGTTTATAGCAACTCAATTCACAATGGCTAAAGTATGACATCAACCCAGAAGCCCTTCAATAGATGAATGGATAAAGAAAATATGGCACATATACACAATGGAATATGATTCAGCCACAAAGAAGAATCAAATTATGGAATTTTCCAGTGAATGGATGGAACTGAAGACTATAATGCTAAGCAAAATAAGACAATCCCTCAAAATGAAAGCCTGAATGTTCTCTCTGATGTGTGGATGCTGACTCACAATAGGTTCACTGGATTGGAAAAGAGATTGGGTGAAGGAAAGAGGGATGGGAATGGAAAAGACAGTAGAATGCATTGGACATAACTGTCCTATGTTTATATGAATACATGACCAATGTAACTCCACATCATGTACAACCACAAAAAATTGCACATTATATTCCAAATATKTATGATATGTCAAAATACATTCTACTATCATATATAACAAAAAATATATAAATAATTTTTAAAAAGATTAAATTTTAAAAATCTTATGACTTAAATTGCATTAGAAGAAGGCAGAAAATTTTTATATTAACTAAGTTATATTCACAAAGAAATATTACTTATGTTAATGTAAACTTATGATGCTAAATTAAATTTGTGTTGATACTTATATATAACTATAAATCTTATTGTGTTTTATAAATAATAAAATATTTTGTAAAGAGACATGTATAATATATTATTTCAAAGCACTTTTTTCTGCTATTTAAACAAGGTATCATAAATTTTCACTTTGCAAAAGTTTTACAATATCATAGCCATCCCTGGTTAAGAATCTTGAACCCTGAAGTTATGCTTGAAAGAAGGTGGTTCAAGCTGGAAATCAAGAGGGATATCTGAAAAAGTTCTTTACATGTAAGTTACATGTCTGTCTCTCCTGGGTTTTCCAGCTTGTTCAAGTGTTGGTGTGTTTCCTATGAGAACAACGTGATGTTACAGATAAATGAAAGAAATAATCAGAAGGAAGCATCCTATTGATCCCTGGCTCATGCATGGAGTACACTTCATACCAATGCCTGTCATGATATTTATACTTAGTAAAGTCCCATTTTATTCTGTTTTATGTGGATGTAGTCTCTTTTTAATCTATCGTCCATTATTCATGTTGAACAGCAGTAATGGAAACCCATCCTGAGGATCCTGTCTTTGCTTCTGAAGAGGCCCAAAGATGGGTTAGTGTAACCTCATACACAATAGATTATGTGTGGATATGAAAATGCTCTTGGAATTCCATGGTGCAGGGTCATTTCTTTCCCTCTCATACTACTCCATGTCTCACACATCCAATCCTCAATATATGCTTTTTCTGTTATATTGTGAAAAAACAATTTCATAATTTCAGTTTCATTTCAAGTTTTATAAGGAATTGCCATACTTCTTTCCAGAAAGTTTACACCAGTTTGCAGTCCYACCAAAAATGTATAAAAGTACATTTCTTCATATATCCCTGCCATAAATTATTGTTGTTTGCATTCTTTGATAATTGCTATTCTGACTGGAGTGAAATGGAATCACAGTGTAGATTTTTAAATTTTCATTTCTCTCATTGCTAGAGATGTTGAACATTTTTTCATGTATTTGTTGACCATCCATATTTCTTCTTCTGTGAATTATTTGTCAATTCCTTTGTCCATTTATTGATTAGGTTATTTATTTTTCTGATGTTGAGTTTTTTGAGTTCTTTGTATAAATCCTGGAAATTAATGCCTTCTCTGATTTAGATACAAGATTAGCTACATATATTTGTTTTGTGGTCCATTTGCATGATATCATTTTCCATCATTGAAGAGCTGTGATCATTTACATTTAATATATATATAGAGAGAGGTAAATTGCTCATTCCTGTCATTCAGATTTGATTTTAATTTTATCTTGTTTTTCAACTTAGCTCCTCTTCAAATTAGATCTGTTCATTTGTGAGCTCTCGTGTTTTTTATTTTGTCTGTATGTAGTATCTCTTAATATATTTCCTGTAGTGCCAGCATCATAGTGGTAAATTCTTTTAGATTTTGCTTATCTTGGAAAGTATTTAAATTTCTTTTTTTGTTTCTGAAGGAAAACTTTGCTGGATATAGCAGTCTTGGATGACAKTTATTTTCTTTCAGGACTTGGAACACATCATTACAAGTTCTCCTGGATTTTAGAGTTTGTGCTAAGAAACCAGAAGTAATTCTGGTGAGATTTCCTCTTGATACAACCTGCCATTTTTTTTTGAGGATTTAAAAATTCTCTCCTTGTTCTTTATGGTAAACACTTTAATCATAATACATCAAGAGATGTTCTTTTTAAACTTTATTTTGTTTATTTATTTTATATGGTCCTAAGGATCAAACCCAGTGCCTCACACATGCTAGGCGAGTGCTCTGCCACTGAGCCACAACCTAGACCCAAGAGACATTCTTTTTTGATCTTGTCTATTTGAGGTTTTGAATGCCTCCTGTATGTGAATGTCCTTCTTATTCTCAAGGTTTCGAAACATTTTTGTTATTTCCCAAAAGTACTAATTTATGCCATCAGCCTATATCTGAGAATTCTTTTTAATTCCAATGATTCTTAAATTTGGTCTCTTAATGTTGTCTCACAATTCTTGTATACTCTGGTCATGATTATGTATTTTATTTTCTTTAATACTTTTGCATGTTCAAGGCCAACTTCTTTATCTTGCAACTCTGAGATTCTGTCTTCAGCATGGTCCACTGGATTAGAGATGTTCAACTAAACATTTTATTTAATTTAGTGTGACTTTCATTTGCAAGATTTCTATCTTGTTCTTTTTCAATATTTTTATATCCTTATTGAATTTCTCATTCTTATCCTGTACTAACTTCCTTAATTATTTTAGTTGCTTTTCTGTGTTCTTTTGTAATTCATGATTGTTTGCAATTATTTATCTGATATTTCATCCACTTCTTTATCTCTGGGGTCAGTTGTTGGTGAATTATGCATTTTAGAAGGCATYGTGTTGCTTAGTTTTATGTATTTCTTCTATTCCTGTGTGTGATTTTATGCATGTCTCAGGCTGGATTTGTCTTTTTCAGTAGTTAGAAATGTTACCACAGGGTGGCAGTCTACCCCAGCTGGTGCAGAATAGGTGGAGGTTCATTGCAGTGGCTTCTGAATAATAAACTTGATGGAGAAACAGGACCTTTTTCTTATTGGTTGGGTTGACAATAAGAGAAGCCCTTAGAATTTTTAGAAACAAAAGGAGCAACCTGATAATAGAAGTAGCTCTTGACATATCATATTTCATACATTAGATTCAAGTGGGTTATGAACTCCCATTTTTACCCCAAATACAGATTGCAGAATCACATTGGTTACACATCCACACAAGAGCTTTGTAATGTTTTGAACAACCAATTAAAAAAAGAAATAAAAGGGTATTGCACAAATTTGGAAAAAAAAACAATAAAAAGTTTTATGCAAACTGAAAAAAAAAAGAAGTAGCTCTTGGGTAGATTGCAAGTCTAGATTGATCTCAGTTGGGAAGAACAATGAAGACATCTCCCTTTGCTTTATTCATGTTCTTGTGGCTGCAGCTGGACTGTGAGTTGAGGATTTGGGGGAAGCAGAGTATATTAGCAGATGTTCTTTAGATATCTGGGAAGACTGGCTTTATACAGGTTTTCCATAGTCACTKATGAAAAGAAAACTTCTGAGAGTAACCACATGCCAACATCATCTTTTTTTCTTTTACTTTCTGCATAGGGGTGAGCCAAGGAGAGAAGGTGGAGCAGCGTTCTTCTACCCTGAGTGTCCAGGAGGGAGACAGTGCTGTTATCAACTGTACTTATTCATATAGTGGTTCAGAGTACTTCCCTTGGTATAAGCAAGAAGCTGGAAAAGGTCCCCAGCATATTATAGACATTCGTTCAAATAAGGAGATAAATCAAATCCAAAGATTCACTGTTGTGTTGGATAAGAGAGCCAAACACTTCTTCCTGAACATCACAGCTGCCCAACCTGGAGACTCAGCTGTCTACTTCTGTGCAGTTGATGCATGATGCTTCCCAGACACCTGCAGCCTGTACTCAAACCTGCCACTAGGCTAAGCTGCTTCCTTTGCATAGACTTCCCAGAATACCATTTGCTATATTTGTTTAGGAAAGCAGTAACTATCATATAGACATTAAAAGCATGTAATAAAAAAGTTCATGATGATCCAGAAAGAGTTAGAATGTTTTGTTGGCTGATTATTATTTAATAATTATTTTTTAATTTGCATTTGTTGTACATTTAAGGGGTAAAATATTGTGTTTTGATAATCATACACATAGTGAAATTTGACAGATGATTAAAGAGATGCATATGGAAAGCATGGAGGAAGGAGCTTCCAACTCCAGGTATTTGCATGTTATGGGTAATTCTAAAATTGCAATTAATTGATTCTTAAAGGGAATTAGAATGGTTTTACCTTGAAATTCAGACTTTGAAGATGAGTTCAGACACCTGCTGTTCAGACTCTTCTCATATAACTAAGCCCTTGTGATCAACATAATACTTATTGTTGGTGTGTTTTAGACTCTTTAGTTATCACATTAGTTATTTTTCTGATTATAAAATATTAGATAACAAATATAAAATATGTAAAATAACAAAATATGTGAAATTGATAATTCTGTATCTAGACAATTTGTTTCTAACATTTTGTCAAAATATATGAAGAAGTATATATGAAGAATGCACAAGTCCACATATCTAATATACAATATAAGAATTCTAATTACTTATTTTATAGTATATATTTCTGTCAGATTAATAGGTTTTTGTTAAAGAGATAGAGAGAATTTTTTAATATATATTTTTTAGTTCTTGGCAGACACAACATCTTTGTTTGTATGTGGTGCTGAGGATCCAACCCGGGCTGCATGCATGACAGGCAAGCACGCAACCACTTGAGCCACATCCCCAGCCCCAGCTGAAAAGGTTTTTTGTCACTCTTTTCAAACATACAAAAAAAAACCCACTAAATAAAAATATGTAATTTGGTTCTCTATATAACCATTTAACTATCTAAATTCATCCTATAACATTTTATTGTAAACCCAAATTTTGGGTAGTAAAATTTACTTTAAATAAATGTAGTTATTTTCATTTATATATGCCTTTCTTTCTTGATAAAGTTCCAATTTATAATGAAAGCTAAATTTATTCCTTCACATTTAATTTTCATTTCTCCCTTATCTTTTTTTCTGGTGAATGTGAAAAATTTTGTATTTAGTATATTTATTTTATGCAGTTAATATATATTTATATACTAARTATATATATTTATATATTTACCACCAGTGGTTTTGTAGAGTGGAGTTATAACAATAGTGTGTCTATTGCTTCAAATAAAGCATTACTTAATCAAGTTATTTTATTAGCAATTAGAACAACTTAAGATCAATAAGAAATACATTACATTCTATCATTAAGGTGAGAAAATACTATTTAAAGTATAAAACAAAATATAAGGATTGCACAGGAGATAGCACACCAAATGGTTCAAATCAGCTTGAGAATTCTGTTCTGACAGTCTCAGAGGCACTGTACAGGTGGGACCAGTGCACATGTGTTTCAAGGATCCTGGGTCAGCACTCATCTTCTGAGGACTATCTGCATAAGGACATTGTCCACAGAATCTTAGTTAAGATCTTTAATGTGAGTTACTTTTAAATTCTTTTCATTTAAGGATTAGTCATACTAATTGTTAAATGCAACCAAAGATTGATTCCTTGTACTTTATTTGCTCAACTGGTAGTAAATAGCACTTAATGAGGACAGTTCCACAGGTTCAGAGGCATCTTTCTCTGCATTATTTTTCGATCCTCTGTCATTGGGTTCAAGTGACATACAGGCTGATTAAAGGAAATGCCCGGAAAGCAGCCTGTTGGCATGGTGATGAAACAATGGACTATGCTGAATTTATTTATCTGGTTTAACTTGTAAAACAATGAAATATGTAGGGTTACGGAGCTATATCTGCCTACAAGTGACCAGTTCACATCAAGAAAACATACAATTTTGTGTGGGGTGGCTGGGGGGAAGCAGGGCCACAAGAGCTTAGGTGAACAATGCTTTACAGGCTGGGGGGGCTCAAGCATGTCTGATAGAGCAATTAATTTCACCTAAGTTTTGTTTTTTCTTTGTGGTACTGGGAGTGGAGCTCAGAGCTTCACATATGCCAGGCAGGTGCTCCACCACAGAGCTATACCCCTTGCATAAGGACTTTAGTCAGAAAGGCATGTTTAATTCAACATGATCATCTGCTCAAGCATCAGCACCCTCCAGGTTCTATGGTGCCTCTCATAGTGTGGGACTTTGTCTTCAGGACAAAATTTCTTTCATTAGTATAAAGACATCAAATATTTCAAGTATTTGATGTAAATTTCCAATACATAATATATGTCTGGTATTATTCTTTTTCGGTTTTTAAAATAAGACACAATTAATTAACAAAATTGGCATGGAGTGTCAATATCTTTTTTGGATATGGATGCTTTTTGAATAATAGAAGTGCAATTATGTGATTCCCTTGAATAAAAACTGCAATGGATTTATGAGAACTTCAAAATCTCATAAATGAGTCACATCACAATAGATGTGGTATCATCATATTTAATGGGGATTTCAGTGCAATACCTGAAGATACTTCCATCAACCCAGACAAGAATAAAATTATGTTGAGAGAAGGAGGATAATTTTGACTACTGTCAAAATACAGGGGGTGGCCAGCAATGTGTCTTTGTTGCTTATCATGTTGTTCAGTAATGTTTCTAGGACATTAATGTGCACAATAAAAAAAAAAGGGTTTTCACAGTTTCTCATGCTATGGTAATCTGTCCTAGGGAGGTGTCTGAGGTAACTCAGTATAGGTTTCAAGCAGATTTGGGCAAAGAATATGGGAACTTGCTGTGTTTCATCAAGGCCCAAGTTGAGGCAAAAGGAAAAATAAGAATTCAGAGGCTGGATAATCTGCAGACGCAACTCTGGTACCTAATCTGGCCTTCATGTACAGAGCTGGGCAGGGAAAACTAAATTGAGAAAAGAAGGGGACTTTTATGATAGGATTCGCTGTCTGAGGGCTTCCTTCTAAACATTTTAGCAAAGAGATATGATGATGATGATGATGATGATGATCCTTATCATTTTCTGCTTCTTGGTCCAAGATAGGCAACTAGACAGACACTAGAAGTGAGGGGGAATATTATTATAYCAGTACGCAGGTGAAGAGAGCTGCAGTGATTAGTAAACACAGATGAGACTTCTGTTGATAAAATGATTGATTTTTACACTAGAATAAAAGGCACCACACACAGGTGAGAGTATACATGACTATGGCCTCTCACCTGTCTCCATAATCCATCACACACAGTGCTTTAAGCAAGTGCCACCTCCCAGTGCCATCACAGGTGCCATGACTGAGCTCAACTGTTGGTGGGGTTATTTGCCTTCTTGTATGCCCATGTTTGCTTTCAGGTTCAGTGGTCGTTAAATTAAGAGTTAAATTAAGAAGGGAATCTGGGTGG